TAACAACGTTGATTTTGTTGATAATAAGGATGTTACTATTCACCTTACTCTAAAATCTCTTCCTTTAGTATTTCATATTATAAAAAATATAAAAATCAGTTTACTAAAAAATTAAAACTAGCCAAGAAAATTTTTGTTCTGAAAAGTCAGGGGAATCATGTAAAAATGTTCAAAACACATGGAATGTCATTAATGAAATGCTAAATAAAGAACACTCTGGAAGTATTCCATCTCAACTATCCAATGGCATTAAGAATTTCAGTATTTTGCTTGATACTTTTTTGGTAATGTTGACCCTTCATTAGCTAAAAACATTGTAATATCACGCAATGCCATTTACAAAAAAGTTTAGCACAATTATTGTAAAGGTTTGGAGATGAGAGGTGTGGACCCAAGCGCAGACAATGATGCAGGAGAGAGTGTCTCAAACGGAAAACAAGCCTTTACTTTGCCTGATGAAACACTACAGAAACAAAAGCAGAGGAAAACTGAAGGAAGCAAACTAAACCTAAACTGGGTAAAGCTAAGTATAACAACATGGGGAACATAGAAAACAGAACCTTACAACCGGGAATGTGGCACATGAAACACTGGGGATGACAGACAGGCATGATACACAGAATTATACACAGACACTCCGACGAAGAACAGAGGAAACAACGCACTAAATAGACACACAAGGTAAGAAGGAAATGGCACACAGGAGGGAGACACAGCTGAACGTGGGACTCTCCAAAGTAAAACAGGAAATACAAGACAGAAAACCACAATTCCCAGAATGAAACTTAAACTAGAAACACAAAACACTGGGTTGCAGACACATGACAATGACACCTATTCTTGTTTAGGTGTGTTTGACTGTCCAACTCCTAAAAAGATTTTGCAAATAATACTAAAATGAAAGATGTTGCTCCAGGCCACATCGAGATAAGAGCTAGTCTTATTAAGAAAGTAGATCCTCTTATTGTTGAACCCTTTACACACGTTCTTTCTTTGTTCTTAAAAATAGGTATTGTACCAAGGGATTTAAAAGTAGTTAAAGTAATTCCTTTATTCAAACTTGGAATGTACTAGTTTCTTTAGTAACTGTCGGCCTATTTCCGTGTTACCTGTTCTCTTCAAAGTACTTGAAAAATTAGTTCACACAAGAATTTCAAAACATCTGTCTGATAGTAATATATTGTATAATCACCAGTATGGATTCAGAGAAAAAAATGCCTATGGCTCTTCTACAGGTCTACAGTAGTTAAAATTACAACAGATTTAGATGATGAAAAATATTTTCTGGGTATATTCCTAGATGTGCCAAAGGTGTTTGACACAGTTAATTTTAAAATTCTCTTAATAAAATTTAATTACATTGGAATATTGTTCTTGAATGGTTTCATAGTTACCTTTTTAAAAGAGAACAATATGTCTCTATTAATAACCAGAATTCCAATAGACTTAAACTTGTATGTGGGGTTCCCCAAGGTTCCATTTTGGACCCTCTCTTATTTTTAATTTAAATTAATGACTTTAAAAAATGTCTGTAAAAATGTACTCCCTATTATGTTTGCAGAAGACAATTCTCTTCTGTTGTTGGTTGGAGCAGATCATCGCGTGGCTTCCCACAGACCCAAATGTGGGTCCAGTGCACCTTCCAGCCAGCTTGCCAAGGCTCGGGGGCTGGCCCGTTCCAGCTACGAGAGGGAGACTCCAGGGCATGAGCAGACATTAACCCATTTGCATTTGCATTTCTCCACAGGTCTCGGCGACTGCCGACATTGTGCCTTACTAGCCGAGACCCGCACGAGCGCCAGTGCAGGCATGTTGGAGGTGCGAGTGACTGGGACATGTCCGCTGGGAGACCCAGGGTGACCCAGGAAAAAACACTGGAAGCCCCAAAGATACACCCACCACTCACTTGGATCATGACAGAAACCACTTCTCTGGTGAGCACCATTTTGATATGCGGCCTGGCGTGATGGCGCATTGACGGCCCTAGGGGTTACCTGAGCATAAGAGGCAAATTGTTCAAAATAATTGACTATAAAATAATTGTCACACTTTCGTTTGGCTTGTTCAAGGTTCAAGGTTCAAGGTTCTTTATTTGTCACATGCATAGTTATACAAGTATAACACACAGTGAAATGTAGCCTGACACGCTCCTCGACATGTGCAAAATTGGGGGGGGGGGGGGGGGGGGGGGTGTAGAGGAAGAACATTATATATATATATATATAGTATATACACTGGGTGAATGTGCAGTAGTAGCAGCAAGCAGGTGAATTCTGTACATTAATATGAATAGACATCTGACTATTTTACAGGATAGACAATATAAACATATTTAAAATTAAAGGAATTGAAATGTACATTGTGCCTTGGTTTAGTGTCTGGAAGAGTCCTGTCTCAGTCAATTATAGATGATGTGAGAGGGCGGGTGTGTGTGTTTAGGGCACGGATGGCTTGGGGATAGAAGCTCCTCTTGAGTCTCTCTGTCTTTCCAGCGCCTCATGGACCAGGTGCTGTGTCCACACGCTGCATATGGTGCCGCCTATTTGGATGACAACAAAAGAATACACTTTATATAAGATATTACATCCTACATGTTGTAAAGGTTATGCTATGTGATATAATGTCATAATGTTGCTTTTTAGGCTGTGAAACCCACGGTCTGTGTGTGGTGACCGGAAGATGCAAAACCAATCCAAAAGCTGGGAACAGTGACTAATACGTCTACTTTTTTCATTTAAAAAAAATCATGAAATTCCTTCAGGAACAAAAAGTGACTCTTGTACACTGAATGCAACGAATTGCCACAAAACAGCCACAGTGTGACCAATTGCACCATTTGAATTTTATATTTAAATCTGGCTTTTGTTATCACATTTTGGTACACACTATGCTCTTTGACCATATCACATGTAGATGTATAGTCCAGTGCAGACTTTATCTTTGTCTCAGACAGTCCCACACACTCACACAGTTCTTGTTCTAATGAGAACATAGATAAGACCTATCTTTTAGTGTTTGTGTTTGTATATGAAGACAATAAGACAAAAAATGAGCTGTAAACCAGCCGAAAGACATTTTAAACCACTTGCTACGGGAATTCTTTTGTTGAAGAAAAATTCCTGGGTAGAAATCCCACTACAAGATCGAACTACAAGACTACAATACTGAATGTCTTTGGTTACATGTCGAAGATCAGGCTCCGACAGCTTGGATCGGGTCAGCCAACACAAACAACTTTGTGCAGATGCTTGAAAAGGAACAAGGAACTTAGTTAATAGAGTTTTGTTTCTTTCCTGGACACCGTTTGCACTTTCCCATCATGCTCTTGTTTTCTGGTGCAATAAAAAGAAAAAGTAATATCCACATCTTCACCTGAAGAAAAAAAACATGTTTATTTGATTGTTTTTCATCACTCTAAGAGTAATCGATGCAGGTTTTGGGAACAGAAAGTGAACATTCTGCACTGAGAGTGTAAAATAGCCACGTGGCACAACTGAACCATTTGAAATAGATTTTAATTTCTGGGGTTTTCTACCTGTGCAGTGTGTTAGCTACTACCACAGTTTTGTGCATGGTAAGCTTTGTGACTTTCATAATGTGGAAAGATTTGTTAAAATAATGCAGTCTTCACATCTACTTGTCCACACAAACTGATATGTTCCCCAAAAGGTTCAAGCTATTTATTTTATTTGTACTTTTTTATTGATTGATTAACTGTACTAAATTGGATATCCTTTATCATATTCTCTTTCTTAATTATTGGCAAAAATTAAGAAATACAGAGAAGCCGAGAAAAACAACTAGAAATCAACAACTACGAAACCCAACAGGAGGGAAAACAGAAGAGGAACTGTGTTCCTTCTTTCCGATATTGCTATCGCTCTGTACAGTTACATCTAAAATTTCTTCAACTAGACTGACATGGTTTAAATACACATATATTACATGATTGTATAAATGAAATCTGCCACCCAGCTGGGGTCTTTCTCTGTTGGGTTTACATGCTGCAGATGCTGAGTGGGTTTTGTCTGGACACCCAGCATCCTCCCACAGTCCAAAAATATGCATGTGGGTCTATTTCTCTAGTAGTACCTCATCTCTTAGCTTAACTCCAGCCTCTTACTGAACATGAATTAGTAAGCAGTTAACCTTGTGAGGCCTGAGTCGTCATCAACCCAAACCCTGGCTCTGATAAGCAAAAAAAGACCTTAAAGGAAAAAATGTAAAAAGTTTTTAGATGTTTCCAAATAATTATTTGTTTGTCACCTGAGTGACAAACAAATAACTAGACAGTTGAAAAATAAATTAAATGAAAAAAAAAATCACAAACTAACCATAGGCCAAATTTCAGTTACTAAAACAAAACTGTTGATTCTTTGTTCTCCAACAAAAGCAGTCCAATCATTTTCTGCTACCACTTCAAAAACAGCTTCATGACTTTAAATTAATTAGTTTACAGTACATACTAACGGTAATATTGGATGATATGTGATATTACAGTTTTTCTCAAATGCTAAAACACATGTCACAAACGTTACCACCAGGTTCTCCAATGTCCAAACACAACACCCTTCTTTAAAGCTACATAAACACAACCACACCTTCCCACTGCAAAACTCAAACTCCCACACCAAGAGAGCAGCTCGAAGCTGTCAAAACTGTAAACACTATACACAGCATTACACACTACAGCAAAACAATTGAAAACACAATGCTCAATTTGTGAGAAGGTTCTTTGGTTCATAACTGCCAATGCATATTTTTATAAACTGTACAGTAACGGATCGTCATAGAACCCTGCAGAGGATTAGGCATTTAGATTTGTGAGTTTCACATGAAGACTATAAATCTATAAAAACATCCTGCATGTACGTACACTACTGTAACACAACTCAATGCAAAAACAGAATCTATCGCACACAACAGTACTCTCGGAAACATGATCAGGGTGTGAAGTCTTTTTTATTGTCTACACGGTCTTTTTACAGTATTACACACAGTCACTGTGCGGCATCATGTCGCCGAGCTGCATTGGGCCACATCACCTCATCCACATCACAGGCTATATTGTCCCTTGCTAGGCACCGCGGGAAAAACGCCCTGGAATGGCGAATCCATCCCTGGAAGGCCTCCACTGGGATGTCAGCACAGGCCAGCTCCATTGCCCGTACGAGGTTCTCTCTTGTGTATGGCTGTCTGTCATACACCTTCCATCTCCATGATGAGAAGAACTCCTCTATAGGGTTCAGGAAAGGGGAGTAGGGTGGCAGACAGACGTTTAAAAAGTGGTCACTGTTGGTGGTGAACCACTCTCTGATTTGGTGTGTTTTGTGGAAGCGGACGTTGTCCCAAATGATCACATACATGTGATGTGCTAGCCTAGGATGGTGTTGTTGACGGTCCAGGAGGATGTCTTTTAGCTCCTCTAGGAAGGTGAGGAGACGTTGGGTGTTGTAAGACCCAAGGACAGCATGCCGGTGGACAAGCCCCTCCGTACCCATAGCTGCACAAAGAGTACAGTTTTTCTCAAATGTTAAAACACAAAAGCCAATCCTGTAACCCAAATGACCAGTAGTCTAAACACATTTACCAAATGTAGCCACCATATTCCAGTACCATAAACACATGTCACATGAAGACACAATTCACAAAACACAACCCTCTGTACTCATAAATCTAAACACATTTTTCCTTGCTAAAACACATGTTGCAAAACAACTCTGCTCATATTCTCAAATGAAAGCCCATGTGATGCAAAATGCTTGCCACAGTCACCAATCTTTGAACACAGGGAACACACCTGGCGTCATTCACTACACACAATGACTCAAAATTGAAGACACTTGTTGCTAATGCTGTACCCACATGTAAAAGCAAGTTCAGAGTGCACAGTATGCTGAAGATTCCAAACAAACACAATGGATGAAGGCAGAGTCAGGGGAAGAGGAATTTGATGCAGAGGAGGGAGAAGAGCTGGCCCTGGAAGAAGAGGAGCAGGCCAATGAGGAAGAGGAGTTCAAATGAGAGGAGGAAGAGGAGCGACCAACGAGGAAGAGGAGAAGGCCAACATGGGAGAGGAGAAGGTCCAGGAGGGAGAGCAAGACAACCTCGCACCATCATTACGGACGAGATGCGAGCAACAGCTCAGCGACATGATGCCGCACAGTGATTGTGGTGTGTGTGTGGTGTGAATAACGTAAATAAAAAAACTTCACACCCTGTTCATGTTTTCAAGATTACTGTTGTGTGCAATAGATTCTGTTTTTGCATTGAGTTGTGTTACAGTAGTGTACGTACATGCAGGATTTTCTATAGATTTATACTACTCATATGAAACTCACAAATCTAAATGCCTAATCCTCTGCAGAGATCTACGACGATCCGTTACTGTATAGTTTCTAAAATATGCATTGGCAGTTATGAAACAAAGAACCTTCTCACAAATTGAGCATTGTGTTTTCAATTGTTTTGCTGTAGTGTGTAATGCTGTGTATAGTGTTTACAGTTTTGACAGCTTCGAGCTGCTCTCTTGGTGTGGGAGTTTGAGTTTTGCAGTGGGAAGGTGTGGTTGTGTTTATGTAGCTTTAGAGAAGGGTGTTGTGTTTGGACATTGGGGGACCTGGTGGTAACGTTTGTGACATGTGTTTTAGCATTTGAGAAAAACTGTAAATATTACCCCCCCGTTGGCCAGGAACCTCAGTGATGGCTCTTTGGCCAATGATGTTACGGCCTCTTCGCCTTCGTTTCTGGAGGTTGAAGCCAGCCTCATCCAGGAAGAGGTACTCATGGGGTCTGGCCATCGCGTCCAACTGCATTATCCTCTGTGAACATGGAAAAGCGTACAGGTGTTCAGAACGGTCAATCAGGTAGCACAGTATTGTCCAGAAGTAATGTAGGCCACTAAGCAACACAGTATGTCCACTAACTGTACTGTGGACATGGATGTATACGTACTTGCACATACTCGTAACGTTGTTCTATGTGTCGCGCAGAGTTGCGCTCAAAGGGAACCCTGTAGACCTGTTTCATCCTCATCTGTTGGCGCCGGAGAACTCGGTCTATTGTGGACACGCTGACAGCATCAATGTTCTCAAAGTTTACATTATCTGCAATGACTTTGTCTCTGATCTCTCGGAGTCTAATGCAGTTGTTCTCACGGACCATATCTGCAATGAGGGTTTCTTGTGCCGCTGTGAATATGGCAACCCTCCCACCTCTATGTGGCATTCTTTCAGCTCTAAAGAAAGAAACATGTGTTGTCAATTGACTGATTTATATGTAAAACTACATGTAAAGTAACAGACCACTTTCACAGGCCTGTAAAACTGTAGTGTGACAAAGAAAGCAATAGCGTACTATACCTGTTGTGTTGTCTAAATGCCTTGATAATGGTGGCCACGGTGAACCTACTCAGGTTTGGATGTACTCTTCGTCCCGCTTCAGCCATTGTCATGCCATGGACAATGACATGATCAATTACTGTTGCTCGCATATCATCTGTTATGATGGTGCGAGGTTGTCTTCTTCTCCCACCTGGACCTTCTCCTCTCTCTTGTTGGCCTCCTTCTCTTCCTCCTCTACTCCGAACTCCTCTTCTTCTTAGGCCTTCACCTCTTCCTCCTCTGATCTCAACCCCTCTTCCTCTTTGGCCTGCAGCTCTTCTCCTTCCGCACGCTCGAATGCCTTCATCCATTGTGATTGTTTGGCATCTTCACCAAACTATGCTTTTATAGGTGGGGTCACATCATTAGCAACAGGTGTCTTCAATTTTGAGTCATTGTGTGTAGTGACTGACGCCAGGTGTGTTCCCTGTGTTCAAAGATTGGTGACTGTGGCAAGCATTTTGCATCACATGGGCTTTCATTTGAGAATATGAGCAGAGTTGTTTTGCAACATGTGTTTTAGCAAGGGAAAATGTGTTTAGATTTATGAGTACAGAGGGTTGTGTTTTGTGAATTGTGTCTTCATGTGACATGTGTTTATGGTACTGGAATATGGTGGCTACATTTCGTAAATGTGTTTAGACTACTGGTCATTTGGGTTACAGGATTGGCTTTTGTGTTTTAAGATTTGAGAAAAACTGTAACCAAGACTACATTCAATTCAGTTTTATTTATACAGCACATTTATTTATAAATCTCTTTTGCACTAAATATTGTAAGGTAAAGATCCTACAACATTAAAAAGATAATAGAGAAAACCCCACAATCATAGGACCCCCACGAGCAAAGTGCTTTTGTTAGGGTACCTGGGTCTGGTGATCCAGTGGTTTTGATTTTGTTCATCTATATTCTGTTATTTAGTTTCTTTATTTCTTGCTCCCCAAGTTCTTTAGTGTCTCCTTATTTCCAGTCTTAGGTTTTGTTTATATGCCTTCCCTGTGTTCAGTGTTATGCTTTTGTCATGTCTGTCTCAGTATCATGTCCACGTTACTGCGTTATATTTCCTGTTTTACTTTGACAGTCTGTGTCCCATGTTAATGTTTTCAGGTTTGCTCCCCCTCGGTCTCGTTATGTCTGATGACTCCCAGCTGTGCTCTCCTCTTGTGTGTCATTCCTTTGTTATCCCTCTGTGTATTGAAGCCTTATGTTTTCCTTGGTCTGTGTCATGATCTCCATTTCTTTTCAGTTTAGTTACGTTCGTGTTGAGCAATAAAACTGTTTTGAGTGCACTTTTTACCTCCTGGTGTCTGCACATTGGGTCCTCCATTCATGCCTAGTGCACACAGTCCAGCTTTGGCAATGATGGGAACAAAAACTCCCTTTTAACAGGAAGAAACCTCCAGCAGAACCATTCTCATGGTGGGGAGGGGAGGCCTCTGCCGTGACCGGCTTGGGTTAGGGGAGGAAGACAGGACGAAGACACGCTGTGGAGAGCCAGATATCAATAATAACTAATAATTAAATACAGAGAGGTGTATAAATACATAGTTAGTGAAAAAGGTGACTCAAAATAATTGGTACTGTCTATTTCAAAAGGTTTTTTTTTAATTATGTTGATAAATACATGTCTTAGATGTTTCTTTATTATATTTTGTTTATCGATAGCAGTCTAAACCTGTTGTAATTACAAGCTACAGCCATCTACAATCTGCTGGTGATGTTTCAGAGCTGGATAATGCAATAATACTACATCCTTACTGTGCATTCTAAGCTCTGTATTGTGAGATGTGTGTGTGTGTATATATATATATATATGTATGTGTATATATATATATATATATATATATCACTTTATTTACAAACATAAGCTTTAACATCTACCAATACAAAGTAATACCTCTCTGCAGATGCCCATTTTTTAAAGCTTAACTTTATTTATTAATCATAAAAAAATGTTGACTATAAAACAGCTAATGACTACAAACGTCAACACTACAAGGTAAATTGTTTGAATCATTTTCTTCTGCTTTTTCAGAAATCTGATTTTCATACTAACATATGATAAAAACTCAATTGCTATTGGATATAGTTTTTTTTTCATGTGAATTTAGCTTTAAAATCAGTGAGCAGTTCATTAGACTTGCTTTACATAGTTAAAAATAGATAAATAAATGAGAAATAAACAACAACATTTTAAAAAAAATGCAATACTCCTCTAGAACGAAAAAGTGAAAATGAGAACCAATAAACTAACAATGCATAAAGAAAGTGGGAGGGGTCTTACAAACCACCAGTTTGATGTTCTTAGTTGTGTCATTTGTCCAAGTGGTTTTAAGGCTGTGGAGCAACTCATCAGTGACAGGAAGCAAACGGGCAAATTCTGTGTTTGTTGTGAGTGAGTTTTTCTAAAGAAAACAGAAGAAGACTGTGTCAGTGTTGGTCCATCTCAGTTTCTCTAAAAATGCTGCAGCTGCTTCTATTGCTGCTGCTGTCATCCACAGTAAGTCACACAGTATTATATGTAGTATTGTTCTGTTATTGTTTGTTTACCATGTATATAAGTCTTAAGAATTTATGCTCCTATTTGCAAAATCAGGCTGACAGCCAGAGTCAGCAAGTGTCGGGCTACAAGAAGGCAAATGCATGTGTGTGCCAGCTAAACTCCACCATGTGGCTGTTCCCTGCTCAGAAGTTTAAGTACGTGTTGGAGGAAGTTCACACCTGTGAAGAATCTCTGAATAACCTACAAAAAGAGGTAAGAACTCATCTATATGCTTTATTGTACTGAAGTAAGCTCTCAGGAATTAACGTTGTATTATAAAAAAAAACTGTAATACAATTAAAAAGCAATCAATCAATAATCAAGAAAACATTATTTAATAATTCATTAATTATTATTACCATAATGAATACTGAGTATGGGTATAATCAATCAATCAATTTTTTTATTTTTTATTTTATTGCTATGTCTAGTTTTATTACTATGTGCATATTAGTATTGTACAGCACTTTGGTCTACCAGGTGTGTTTTTAAAGTGCTATATAAATAAATAAATGATGATGATGATGATGAATCAATCAATCAATGTTTCAATATTTAAAGATGAACTGTTTATCAAAGTTACTTTATTTTTTATATCATTTCTCCAACCACTTTTTCTTTCCCCTCATAACAATAACTTTTTAAAATTTGGGTTTATTTTTACATTGTTCCTATGGAAAAAAAAGGCATGTCTTTGAACAAAGATTTTTTTTGTCTGCATTTCTTGCAGCTGACGTTCTCCAGCCAACGTCTTCCTCTGATCCAGGATCAGTTTACCAAATTTACAGTCCGGCTGGAGCCCTACAACTACCTGCACTCCCAGGGCCTGTATACAGAACTGTCCCTGCACCAGCTGGGCCAGGTGCTCAGCCAGTTACAGGTGGACATCGATGTGGTCCACAGCCAGCTTAACAACTCCGAGACCCAGAAACTCTCCAAAGAGGTAGAGCTAAAATAGCAAATGGCAGCAAAATACAACAGAAAGAAATAAGTTGATGTTATACTATGTCAGGTCACAAGTGACCTGTTGTGATGTAACAGAATTATCAATAGAATAATATTATATCCATTTCTGATAGGCTGATAGACTACATAAACATGTAAACAAGATGCAAACAATAGACACGCTTAACATGAAGACTGTGAAGGAGAAACTGCGCTACCTAAAGAATAAGTTGGAGACCTGCAAGTCAATCCCCAAAGACTTCAGAGGTATGTGTGTGTGTGTGTGTGTGTGTGTGTGCGCGCGCGTGCGTGTGTGCGTGCGTGCGTGCGTGTGTGTGTGACATAGAGAGACAAGGGAATAAATCAGTTATCAGTTAATATGTTGCAATCAATGATCCCTTGAGACAGTGATTCTTAAATGAGATGGCAGGAGTGTATTTGTATTTTGGCTCTAACAAACTGAAACTAATGAGAAACACAATTTTTGTTTTTAAGATTTATGTGTGCATTCATCAGTTAGAAAAACAGAGTTTAGAAAATTCTGTGGCAGAAAAGAAAACAATTAAGAGCTGATGGTCAGGTTATATCCACATTCCAAAAGAAGCATAATGTTTTTCAGTCAAATTGAGTTGCATTCCCATGACGGCAGTACCAGCCAACTTAAGTTGATAAGTCAACTGATGTCCTTTTATACTCCCAGTTGTTAAATAAATGGGGTACTTTTCAAAGTACCTTAACAGGAATAGCATCTACAAGACCCTTTGCCACATACGTCCATGGCAACTCCACCTTATCTGATTTAACCTCCTAAGACCCGAACTCTTTATTTGGTGTCTGAACACAGCAGTATTTTTCCTCAGTACAAAAACAAAATGAGAAACAACAATTGTGCCCCTTTTAGCAAAATTTCTGTAACAAAGCAAAAAAAGTAAAAGATTTCTGAGCACTGAATGAAAAACAAAACATTTCTCTCCCAAACTGCTACTTCAAACATGTTTACACCTATGTGTGTAAAATTTTGTATTGTGGTCTAGACAAGCCAAAATGTGATGTCCACATATGTGGACACCAGGTCCTAGGAGTTTAATCATTGTCATATCTGTCATGAGTTATTCCTGTTCTGTTCTGTGCTGAGCCTTGATGTTGTTCTGCTGAACCTGCCTTGGGTTTTCAACATGTGCAATAAATAATATGTTTTCACCGATCCTCACAGAATTCAGATTTGGATTTTTGGCTCTAACTACGCATGGAGGGGTGGAGAGAACCCAATACAGAGCCATGCCACTCTAGAAATAAAAGCTTATTTTTACTGATCGTGACTGAAATCAGATTTGAGCTCCTTCCCCTTTTCAAAGCAAACACACACCCTCAGGGGATGATTAACAGCTGATGTTGATAAATGACTGACTGTTTCTTATAATATGCTTCAGAAATCTTCTGATCTTTCTGTCTTTCCAGGTCAGGACAGGCACTGTCTCAAAGGTCTGATCACCAACATCAGTGACCCTATCACAGCTAAAGTCAGCCCTTTTGGTAAGAGCTGTGTCTCTGGTTCGTGGGGAAAACAAGCCCAGAAAGAGAGCGATGGGCAGAAGAACAGTTACTGGGTTCAACCTCTGCTCAGCAGCCACATCTGGGGCAACACTGTGCGCCTTTACCAAACCTATGAAGACCTCATGGCCTCAACAAACCACAAAGACTTTACATTTGCCTCATCGTACAGCCATCCCAACGCCATTGAGGGTCCCAGTGCTGTGCTGTACGGTAAGGCTCTGTTCTATAACTGCTACCGCTCTGCAGACGTTTGCCGGTACGACCTGGAGACCAACGAGGTCAAACGGGTGACTCTTCCAGGCACCGGTGTGGGTTTCAACAACAAGTTCCCCTATTGTTACTACGATTGCCGGCTCAATAGTGATGTTGATGTAGAGGCAGATGAAACAGGACTGTGGGCTCTCTATGCCACTATAGGTAACCATGGTAACCTCGTGATCAGCCGCTTAGTTTGGGACAGCGAGGTGAAGAGTCTCAACGTGACACAGACGTGGGAAACGAGGCTGTTCAAGAAGGCAACGAGCAACGCCTTCATGGTGTGCGGTGTGATGTACGCAACTCGTTATGTTAATGAGTACCGGGAGGAGGTGTTCTACGCCTTCGACACAGCCACAGGCAAAGAAGACAACTCACTAGCAATACCACTGGAGAAGGTAGCTAAAGCAGTGGCTAGTCTGAGCTACAATCCCACCAACAAGCAGATCTACATGTACAACGATGGATACTTGCTGGCCTACCAGGTTTACTTCTGATCTGAAGCTTTGTAGCTAGTTATTGTCACATGACCAAGCAAAACAAAACAAAAAAAGCAATGGCTGTTTTGTGCAGCAGCAATTTTATTCGGTCTTGCAAATGCTGAAGATAAATCATGTATGATGTACAAAAGAACAACCATAATAAAGAGTTAAGTAACAATGAGATGAAAATTCTTTATGCCCTTTTTTGCTCTTTACTAGTATTTTTTTAAAACACAAAAACACACACACACGCACACAGAGACAGACACGCACGTTTTTCTTGTTGACTGTGACCAGCTAGTTAATGTATTAATGTTTAGCAGGTGACAAAAAGACATGTTAACATTTCCAAATCTTAAAAATTCCCCTAGAGTGCTGTTACTATGTAAAATGTAAATAAACCCAGGTTTGATTGCCAATACATCATAGAAAACAAATCAACAGCTTAAACTAAGAAAATGTATCATTTTAAAAAATTGGTTCATAGTAAGGGAACAAATTGCAGTTGTACCAGGTGTCTACAGTAGGTGGCAGTGTGATCCCACTCTGGAGTGGATGAGGACAGATGTTTCCACTGCTGAGCCACGGTTTCCAGTTTCTGGCTGGCTGCCTCTTAGACACACCCAAAGCTCTGCTCGCATAATGACAGAAGCCAAACAGCAGCCTGCTGGCTCAAGACGAAACTCTGCGGTCTGCTTTTTACCATGTATGCGGTGGGACCGAGCTCATGTTTCTGTGCAGTTAAAATAGGCTGGGCAGAATCTACATGTTCTGTAATGACATGCTGGATCCTGAACATTTTGGTAACCTTTACAGATTAAGTTTGTGTTTGTTTCTGAAATCCACCCTTTCATTGTTGGTCTACTAACACTGTCACACACATATGGGAAATAATAAATGACTAAAAACGATCTAATTGCACACATAATGCTAATATCTATATATCACAGTGGAGGCCTCCAACCCTTTCAACAATTTTCCCTTTTTTGTATATCTGTGGAAAATCGCTGCATCAGATAAAAATTACAATTTTGCGTAGGAGTGCACAGCAATTTCACACTACCTTGCTCTAGTAGTGTGCTTAATAATAATTAATATCAAAATGAAATTGAGGTGGTGAAGCTAGTTTTTGACCCTCAAGAAGACCTCCATAATTTTTCAAAATTACAAATGAATGCAGGAGCCAAGCGTCCAGGCACAACTGTTTAATTTGCTATTTGATGCCCTCTGAGTTTCTGTGGGCATTAAAGCTGGTATATTTTTATGCTTTTTAACGCCTGTGTTTTTTGCCGTTGCGGTTGTTTTTGTTGTTGTTTTAAATATAAATGAAATTATTTTGTTTTCCATTTGTTGCCAGAATCAGGTGACCACGTTTTCATTAAAGCTAACTTTATTGTTAAGGCAAAGTGTAAGTGTTACTTATGAATCAGTAAAAAACAATCCTCTCTTGTTATATTACTTTAATGATCTTGTTATAAAATGATGACTGAAGTAGAGAGATTCGAAAGCTATGACACAGCATCTTTCAGATATTGTATTAATAAGAATTTACAGGCATATTTTAAGACACCTTTAGCCAAACCAACCTTAAAATAAAGCTAAAAGTTTTACTCTCAGTCTCTTATTTGAAAGACAGCAAACCGTCATGAATCATTGCTCCTTTTTCACAGCTTTTTGATTCAGTTTTGCGAATTACCATGCTAAACATGAGCGTGTTACCATTTACATTGGTGCTTATAATCCTCTGAACACAGAGCAACAGGCATGGCTTTAGAGCTGCAGAATCCAATTGGAGAAACATTCGCATGAGCATTGCAGATTGCATGAATACACCAATGTCACTACCTTCAGCTTGGCTATTCATACCACAGCTTTTCCTGTAGAAAGGCAAACACTGACTCAATCGATTCCAGCAAATAAGGTGAAGATCTTGTGGAAGCAGGAAGTGAAGCTGAAGTTCTTGAATCCTGGTTTCATTACATTGTCACTAATTGTTTTGGGCTGAGGCTTAATTGATCACTTACAGAGCGTGCTCATCTATATGCCAGGAAGTTCTCATTGTGTCCACAAGGCACGATGATTGCCTGTCAGTTTCACCTTAAGTCATCATCGCATTATTACTCATAAATATGTAATGTTGCATTAAAGAGTCCATCTGATGTGCACAGCCATTATAACTTGCTACCGGTATCAAGTACAGATGATTACCAAGCAAACACTGACATTGGCTGATCCTGAGCTACCGGATGATCTTCCTTACAGCACCACCAGGCAATGTTTTCAGCTTAAATCACAGGCTGGTACAAAATACAGCCCACGCATGGCTGCTTTTTCACCTTTTGGTTTCCTTTGGACTTCCTTTGCAGACAGACTGGGTTAGTGAACATGAGCTGTGTCCTGTTTACTGGCAGAGTCTGGGAGAACTTTGAGGTACTGGGTTTGAAATATGTTAACCTTTTGTTACTTGAGTCTGCCACAACAAAGCTTTTCAAAAGTGTGTAGACACGACTCAACAGTTTCTGTTTCAAACAAACACTGGCCACAAAGGCACTGTGGTGCCAGTATCACGTTTCACAAGTGATTGTTTTTACTTGCAAATTGCTGATAAATTTGCAAACCCTAGAGAGCCCTTTTGTGATCATGCATAGGTCACATAAGCACATAATGGAGATTAATTAGAAACATCTGTGTTACAAACTGCATTAAAAAGTTGTTTTAAAAACTGAGAACGTGTTTACTACTTACATAGGAAATATGAAGGTAAGAGCCACTAAGGTACTGTTAATCCAATGCATCTGATTTAGTGATCGTCAGCAGACATATAAAAGCAGACATTGTGCAGTTTGCTTGTTCCTGAAAATTCATCCCAGGGTCAGACGTGTTGCCAATCCTCGGACTCTCAGACCTCAGTTAACATGTTAAATGCTAAAGTTCATAATTAGAAAATGACTGAACAAGTGTGGCTTGTCTGGAAGGATTGCCAGAATATAAAACAACAATCAAAAAAACTTCTCTCTAAAAGGAATATGGCTTAGTTTTGCAAAGTTGCATCTGGACAAACCACAACACTTCTGGAACAATGCTTTTTTTGACAGACGAGACCAAAGTGGAGATGTTTGACTATAATCAACGGCCCCGCATTTAGAGAAACCCAAACACAGCATATCAGCAAAAAACCCAAAAACAGCCTACTAACTTACTAACTGACAGCATGGCAGTGGAGGACCGATGAATTGAGTTTCTTTTGCAGCCACAGGACCCAGCTGTCTTTCAATTACCGAGCTGACCATGAAATCTTTTGTATACCAGTGAATTCTAGAGTCAACTGTGAAGCCATCTGTCTGACAACCAAAGTCCAAATTGGTCTTTCAACAGGACAATGATCTGAAGCAAATCTACAACAGAGTGGCTGAAAAAGATTTAAATGCTGTGGTGTGACCTTAAGAGAGCTGTTCATAAATGAATGCCTGCAAACCGCAATGAACTGAAGCTAGTTATAAAGAAGAGTGGATAAAGTAGTGAAGAGCCAAATTTTCTCCACAATTTTGTGAGATAACCGAAAGTCATACAGAAAAAGATTGCTGCCAAAGGTGGTTCTACAAGCTACTGAATCGCCGTTGTAATTGAAATTTCACAGGACTGCATTGTAATCATTCATTTATAGATTTATAGACGTCGGCTAACGGAAAAATGTGCATAAAAACTACCTTTTTTTTTAGTTTTTATGCATACAAAGGACATCTAATGAGCTTCAATTTTATGGACTTCTGGCAGAAGTCTGAATAACTTGGGCAGACAGCATTGAGTAGACTGTGGGCTAACATTGATTGGCTAAACTTTTCTCAACTTTGAGGTAAGGAACTGAACAAAACTGCTGACTGGCATGCCATCACCTGAGGGTCACTAACCATATCTCGAAATGCCCCAAAATGACCAACTGGCAGTTACAGATTGATGTGTGACATGTTTAATATTTTATATATGCATGGTTTAAGGTGCCGTTCATTCAGCAGCTGATTTTTAAAGAAAAAAATATCATTAGTAGTTGATGAGTGACTCGACCTTCCAAGTAATACTACTAGAATGCAGTCAAGTCAGGTGTGACATTACTTCCAGCTTCTCCATGTGACTTCCAGGATAAAAGGAACAAAACATTAAACTCAAGGGAAATAAGTGCCAAAGAGTTATTGCCCTTTCGGTGTGTTTGCTGTGAATTTATGGCTCCTGTTTTCACCCTTGAACTGTTTGACTTTTAATTTTTTTGGGCCAGTTATGTTATTTTTTTGTCTTGTCATTAGTTAATTAATTTATATGACACCAAAACACAAAACCAGTTTCCCCAAGGTGCTTTATATTGTAAAGCAAAGACTTGAGCGTAATATGTATTTGAATTTTAACAAACTTATGGCCTCTTATCTACTGCTGCTACTACTACTGATATTACGAAAAATGACAAATATATAAATATTTTCTACATTGTACGAAGCACTTTATGATTTATGAAACAACATGCATTGTTCACATAAATTAAAAAGTAGTAATATTTTCCACTAATTATTACATTTTTTTTAATCTTACAAGGTTTAGAAATGCAAACACTTGGCATAAAATCTGACCGTTCCTGTCCCTGGAAGTTTCCATGTCTTAGCTTAAGTGTAAGGAAATGGCATCACTTATGGAGTAGCTTTTGAAAGAATGCTGAGCAGAGTTTTCCACAGGCAGGTCTGTATTACAGCACATACATGATGTCTCAGGAGTATTAATCCCTCCAGCACCCCCCCCCCCATCAGCATTAGTACCAAGGTTCTGCTTCCATCCTGTGATCAGCAAACGCTGTCTCCATTATTGTTGTTAATAGGGATTGTAGTAGGACTAGATGATACTTTAGTCCTAATACTAAACTTTAAAAAGTTGAATAAGTAACAACGGTGAAATTTTATTAATTAAGAGTATGGAGCTTCAGAATAGACAGGTGGAGTGCAGTAAGACTATGAGAAGTTAATCAGATTATGGTAGCACTGCACTGGATTATTGTGTGAATGAAGACTGCTGTAGTGTGTAT